AAATACTTACAGATGCATGGCAGAGCTACAAAGAACGAGCATCTGTTTTCTGAAAATGTTACAAAACAACTGCAGTTTGCAGATCGCATGCACATCCTGAAACCACAGCATGTCAATGTTGTATGTGGACAATTTGCACCAAAACATATCTGTTTGGTTTGAACTAGAAGTCTTCTGTTTGGAGAGAAAAGAACACAGCATTCTAGCATCATAGTCTCATCTGTGAATCGTAGTGGTGGTACTTTCATGGTCTGGGTCTGTTTTGACGCCTCTGATCCAGGTTGGCTTGCTAGTGTTTATAGCATGCTGAATTCTCAGTAACGTTTGTGAATTTTAATGAAAATGTCAGGATGCTTTTCAGTGAACTGGATCTTGCAGGGGACAAAGGGAGGGGGAAAAAATCTAAACAAAATGATGTATGGGTGTTAGTTTATTTTTCCCATCATTCAGTAACAAACAAAGTGAATATTTTTTAGATAAAAGTTATAAACCTATTTTAATTTTTATTAGAGCTGTTCCATACTCTATAGATTAACCAATAGTGTTAGGAACAAAGTCCATGCTCAATAATTCAGGTATAAAATCCAACATTTTTTCAGTCAGATCATCTGGACAGTTTCTTTTTTTTTTTTGTGCTGAAACGTTTCACCTTCGATCCGGAAGTCTTCATTAGTTAAGGAAACACACAACAAAACTGATTCTTCCCCCAACAGCTTACTCCAAAGTGGAACAAACCAGTTATATTGGTGCTAAGATGGTCTCTTTGGCACTCCCCCTCCTCCATTGCCGGCTCTCTTCCTTGTCGACAGTCGTGTCAAACTGGTTGAAAACAACAAAGTCCATGCTCAATAATCCAGGTATACAATCAAACATTTTTCAGTCAGGTCATCCGGACAGTTTCTTTTTTTGTGCTGAAATGTTTCGCCTTCGATCCGTAAGGCTTCATCGACAGTGTTGGTGTTTAAAGCCTAAAATAGAACTTTATTTCAGAATCAAATAAATTGTTGTTCATGCTACTTGTACTAAACAAACTGAGTTAATCTATATATAAAATTCTCACAATAATCAATAAATACTAGAAAGTTCCTGAAGAAACTTTGACGGGGACTCCCTATTTATTATTAAATTATTATTAATAATAAATATAAATTTGCCATTTATTAAATGCAATAATTAATATTAATTACCAATATACATTTTAATATATTGTTAATTTATCAATTATTATTAAATATTAGTGATAATTAATATTAAGAATATTCATAATAATCAATATGAAATATTAATTATTACTATTAAAAATTATTAATATTAAAATAGATTATTGTTAACATTAATAATGAATTATTAATATAAACTATTATTATTATTAATTAATATTAATAATAGGTGCCTTCCATGCATTGCATAATGCATTGCCTTCCTTGCATGTTGAACCAAAATGGCTCCATACATTACTCAGTTTCTGTGAAGAGTTTTTTCCTATTAATTTCCTAAAGGAAATTTGGCATCTTTGTTAGCAAAATATGTCACCATGGTAACTGCAAATGCCTATAAAATTGCACACTTCCCGGAGCCGGGCCGGTGGTTTTGATGTAACTTTTGTAGGGTCCACATTGTGGTTCGGGCCACATTAAAGTTGAAAAAGATTATTTTATCAGGTGTAGAATAATGTGGGCAGTCACCAACTAGTTCCTTGAGTTGGTGAAATATTGCGTCTTTGTTTGCAAATTACATCACCATGGTAACTCAAAATGCCAATAAAAGTATTAGCACACATCACGGGGCTGAGCCGGTTGTTTTTATATAAATTTGGTGGGGGTAGACATTGTGGTTCGGGCCGCATTAACGGAGATAGAAATGATGACACACTTCCGAGGTGTAGAATAACAGGTGCCTGCCATGCATTTGTATGGCAGGCCCCAAAAATAAAAATAGAAAATTAAAAAAAAAACTACTTTATTTTTAAGGTTGTCATTGTGTTATTTTTTTAGAATGTAAGTCCACAATGTTAGTTATTTTTGTCAGTGTGCACACAGAACATATTCTAAAGCAGTCTGCTCACATTTTTGCAATCAGAGCTAGTGAAAATTGAATAATATTGCAAAACTGTACTGTAAAAATGTACTTTGTTTACAAGTAAGTTGTAAGTAAGGATGCACCAATTTGTTGACCCCGATTTACTTTATTTTGGGAAATCGGAAATTGGACAATACTTGCATGAGAAACCGGTTTTACATATTGTTTTTAGTTTTAACAATAATTGTCTGAACTTCATTTATATTTCAGAGCACTACCTCATGGCCAGTAAAATCAAGTTTGTATTGTTTCGAGGATATTGTTCAAGGGTATGTTTTTCAATAAAATAAGATTGGAAATTCGAAGGTGCATTGTGACCTTATAACACCTGACAGTGTCGTTTATAAAACAAAATCGGTATCGGCAGGTCAGACTTTTTAGAAATCGGTGATCGTCCAGAAAACTGCAATCGGTGCACCCCTACTTGTAAGAAACAAAAAACAATCTGCATTCTTGAAAGTACTGCAAAATACTGACCTGAATCTTTATGGGAAAAAAAAAAAAATTCTTGGTAAATTTGGTTTGCTATTTAGTTTCAGCAAAATGTTTACACATACCAGCCATAAGATTATGACCAACCAACTACCTGCAGTGCATTTGCTTCACATGCTGCCATCATGTAAAAAAAGTAATATTGTTATGGAAGGGTGACCGTCTGTAAATTAAAGTTCTGTATCACGTTACGTGCCAGTGGTTATAATGTTTTGGCTGATCTGATTGTTCTTGTTTTGCTTTCTTTACACGATGAATTGTGTGTTCTTTAACATGTGTCATGCACAGATTGTTGCTGAACTTTTGAACAAAACAGTCTTACTGGATCACAGCACCCAGAGATGAAGGGTTGCTTGAGGGTTATTCTCGCTCACAGATGTGCAGCGTGGCTTCCTGTGACATTACAGCAATACTATTACTCAGCAGATATTTCCATGCACTGCTGAACCAGAGCATTTTAGCAGACTGACAAACTGTAAGGCTCCCCCACCTCTCGGCGCGTCACACAGGACAGTGGTTAGAAAAAACAAGCCCTCAGTGTGAGACGCTGACAGAAACCACAGCCTGCCGCTCACCAGTGTTTCATGAAGCACTGGATGAACTGCAATAAAACCTGCACAAGTAATCATTGGTTGTACATCTACAGCTGACTACCTTTTGTAGTCAGCCTCATTCAAGATGGCCGTCACAGCCAACCAACCCTAAAAAGTACAAAAATGTTTATAAATCAGTCATTTGTGCTAAATATTTTGGTATTAGCTGAGACTGATCCTCAGAACGTATTCCAAATATGCACAGATTGCACAAGATGTTTGTTTAAAACTTTGTCATTAACCATTAGAGTCAACCTATTCTGTTTGTTAGCAAAATATCTCATGAATCACTGGATGGAGTTAAATGAAACTCTCAGAAAGTCGTCACTAAATGTCTAAAACTTATTAACATTTGAAGTCAAATGTATGCACGAAGTCCACTTCAGCTGAGAGCCATTAGAAAACACAAAAATTGGCTACAACTCGAGGAATTTTACACCTACTGAGCGGAAATTTGATGTGTTAGTAGCTGAGATTGATTAACAACACATATTTTGAGAGCAGCATCTCCCTATATTGCATAAGGTCACTATTTCTCAGCATAAGATGCTAGCCTAAAACTAGCCTAAATTCTTTCTCGGAATGAAAGACCCGTACTTTGTCCTGTTTGTCATGAGCAGCACGACGGCTCAGTGGTTAGCACTGTTGCCTCGCAGCAAGAAGGTCCTGGGTTCAATCCCCGGTTGGACCTGGGGTCTTTCTGTGTGTAGTTTGCATGTTCTTCTCATGCGTGCGTGCATGGGTTTTCTCCAGGTACTCCAGTTTCCTCCCACAGACCAAAAACATGCATGTTAGGCTGCCTTCAGGTCCAGGCCTCCCTTGCAAAAGAGATCTGTGATCTCAACAGGATTTGCCTGGTTAAATAAAGGTTAATAAATAAGTAAATAATAAATGTTATGCCTTTTTCTTAAAGACACCAAACACAGGCTTATATTTTCTCCAAAATGTTTCATCAGCACTTTCAGCTGGTATTTGTTAGACGTAAACAGGAGGAGCTCGTGCGCTTGCCCTTATACGCCTGTATAGTGCAGATACTGTCAGAGCTTGGTCACATTGAGATGTGGCGTCAGTCTTTCTCACAAGGACAGCACATAAAAACATAACCCGATGGAAAGATGGAAAAAACTTTCAGGCATCAGAGGATTTTCTTTAGATGGGAACGTAATAACAAAGGAGAGATCAAAAAAGATGCTCTTATCTTTCTGATTGAGGCATGACGTGAATCCAGGCCACATGAAAATGACTTCAAACTCTAGAGGGAATGAGAAGACAAAGTGGCACATAAAAGCGACTTGCTGACTGAAGAAGACGAGGAAGAAACTGGATGATTTCCACCACCCCAAGTGTTGAAAATAAAATGTGATAGCTTTTCGGGCAGAAAAAAAAGGGGAGCTGTTTTCAGTGAGGACATTGGTGATTGCTGTAGTGTTGATGGGTTTCCTCTCCAGCTGTCCATTTCAAGTTTATTATTAAAGCAAGATATAATTTTGTTGCTGTATCAATTCTTTGTGTAATGTAATTGATGGGTGTTTTGCTTTGTGCACTGGAAGACTCCATACAGAGCAGCAAAAAGCCACGTCACATGACAGTGGGTAGAAGTAGAACATTGAAAGAATAAAAATAGGCGCAAAATGAATGCTTTGAACAAACCCTTTTATCCCAACAGATAACAGCTCTCAGTCTAAACTCACCCTTTATGACAGAAAATTGTCTACTCTGTACAAAATAAAATAAATTCTCTTAACCTAACTTTAATTTATTTATTTTTTTGTCCTTTCAGGTTGACGGCCCTGATCTTCCTGTCCTAACAACCCACCTGATTAGTTTTCCTCAACCATGTCCGTATCCACGAGGAACCCACCTCAACGCCGGCGCTCTCTGGGTCCCGTCTCGCCAAAACGCATCTATAGAAACCTGTCTGTCAGGCTGAGGGGAGGGGAGTCTGTTGCCGTGGAGATAGGCACGCCCAAACGCACCTGCAAGGCTGCAGAAGCTGTAAAATATTTCAGTTTATTTTAAGACATTTGCTACTTGTATTTTAATACTGCCTCCTATTTCTAATCTACTTAATCAAAAAAAAGTGCACTTATTGTCCACTGATGAAAGACGAAGGTGGATGATAACCTTTTTGCTCATGTTGCATTTGTCTGGTACTCATAAACTTTGAGGGTCAGCTCAAGTCAAGATTTCTGCCACAGCTAGCTGACCTTAAAAACACAATAACTCGGTCAATTTTACAGATGTTAACCCAAGATTTGGAGTCAGAGCAGCTGAGAGTGATCCCTAATGTATATTTTGATCACTATCAAATTTTAAAACGGTGTTGTTTATATTTTTCCCATTAACTACTTGAAGTCAACTTTGTGTGTCTGTTGGCAAAATACTTCCTGCACATATAGATGTAATTTATTGAAACCTTTAGGAAATAATCAATGGATGTATGTGTACAACTGATTAACGTTTGAAGACAAATCAATGAAAGGGGGCTACTATAGCCAACTGACATTAGAAAATGCAAAAATATCTATAATTCAGTCATTTTTAGAAATGTGCTAAAGTTTACACCATATTTGTCTGATAGCAAAATATCTCATAAAATATTGAACAGATTTTTATAAAACCAGTCAGAAAATAGTCATTTGATATAAATTTACAACAATTAACTTTTATAGTCAGTCCTATTTAAAATAGCTGTCATAGTTGTGAGGGGTTCCCAACCCTAGTCCTTGAGGGACACCGTCTTGCATGTTTTAGTTGTTTCTCTACTCCGACGCACCTGATTTTAATAAATGGGTGATTTACAGTCTTCTGCAGAAAATGAAGTAATTAAATCACTGAATCCGGTGTGATGGAGCAGAGAAACAACTAAAACATGAAGGATGGTGTTCCTCAAGGATCAGGGTTGGGACCCAATGCGTTATCCAGCGCAATAATGAGTAAAGCTCAGTCAATTTACACTAAAACTGGATTTGTTAGGAGATTAGTTATTTACAACACTATGATTATGAGATATTGTGATATCGTATGAGCTTGTTATTTTCAAGATTTGGCCAACATGGCTACAACACTGTCGTTTATCAACAAAATAGATCCTTTGTTTTACGACACAGGAAAACTAAATTTTACATACAGTATGGGTGAATTAAATTGGAATGATTCATTGTATTGTGTTTCTACTTAATATTTGACCATTTTTACTTATTTATTGTATGTAGGTCTCTTTCCTCTTTAAAATCTGTTTTAACCATCCAAAATCGTGTTTTTGGATTGTTAAAAGCAGCTAAGCTGAGAAGCTAAGCTACGAGCTAAGCTAACAGGCCAAAAAAACCTCCGTCTTGTAGAAACTCCAAAATTCATGGTTGAAACCCGTGCCTTCGTGTAAAAAGTTGTTTGTCTCTGCACAAAGAAGCTGAGAACTTTTTAGCTGATTTTTTAAATTAAAAACTTTGTGACAAATGCTATGCTAAAGAGCTCAAACCACACCAAGCGTTCGCTATTTTGAGAACCGGACAAAAGGGAAGGAGAGACGGCCCATGTCACGTCATGGGGCCTCCCTCCCATTTTTCTTAAAGAGACACGCTGCTCGCTCCCTCACTATCCATCCTTTGGTTCTAACAGTCTTATACTGCCATCCGGTGGTCAAAAAGGGTACTACACTCAAAATAAAATGAACCAACATTTCTTCTTAAATTTGTCAATAATTACTAATTATTGTCAAATTTCAAACAAATTATTGTTTATTGCAATAATTTCTGAGACAATTAAATTTGCCCAGCAAAATTAGTTATTGTGCCAGGTCTAATTATATGCACTGGGTACAGATGTATTTGTTGATTTTGTGTTAAAAGGACAATTGCTGAGCCACACCATGTTTGAAACAAGATACTAATTTATTAGAAGATAAACCAACAGTGTCTGATCCTTTTCTGCCTGCAGTGTGTGCATGTCAGAGTCAGAGTCAGAGTCAGAGTTTCTTTATTGTCATTCGCACCTCATGTGGTACATGTGGTGGAACGAAATTATGTACGCAGGGTCCCAGTTACATCCAACAATAAAATGTATAAGAAAAACAGTAATAACATCTAAGATATGAACTAAGAAAAACATCAACTAAATATACACTAAGCACTCATAACATAAAACATTGAACATCAGCACAAACATGAACATGAGTCTGTGAGCAGATGTGCACGCATGAACACATCAACATTGAAACAGATCAGCAGCAACATGAAACAGATCAGCAGCAACATGAAACAGATCAGCAGCAACATGATATGGTTTTTCACAGTGATTATTCTAGTTAGAGATTCATGAGTCTAACAGCCTCAGGGTAGAAGCTGTTCCTCAGTCTAGTGGTTCTACACTTAATGCTCCTTAACCTCCTTCCTGAGGGGAGTGGGGCAAAAAGTGTGTGTGCTGGGTGGGTGGGGTCCTTCATGATGCAGGTGGCCCTCTTCCTGCATCTGGAGGTGTAGATGTCTGTGATGGTGGGGAGGCTGATTCCAACATGTGTGGCTTGAACAAAGTTTGTGATTTTAAGCAGTGCCCAGTTCACAGCGGTGTGCAAAAGTCTTGAATCATCTCTTTTCTTTGTGTTTTGCTGCCAAGCAGCCAATCTTTCTTGTGAACCTTTAAAGTGGTCCTGCTCAGTAGTCCTTTCTGAATACTTTTGTTGGACTTTGCCTGATTTTTTACTCATTTTCAGTCAGTATGTGAACAGTTGCAGAAGAAACTTTTTTAAAATCACTTAACTCTGGCATATGAGCCATTCAGGCATAAAAAGGCTTCTGATATCTGAAGGAACCGTGTTGTGTTGACATGAAACAATCAACTTAGCAAAGAATCAGTTTTAAATTAGATCGTTTAGCAGTTTGTTACCAATAGACTGCTATGGAGACTCTCTTTGTCCTCATTTGAAGTTGTGTCTGTAAGAAATATCCAACAAATTTAGCATCAGTACCGTCTCAGAGCTATTGGCATGCAGTCGATGATCAACGTAAGGATGACACATCCCACAAGCCTGTGTCAGATATTTGATGGATATTTTTTTCCTATTTCTTACAGACGTTTAGTGATCTGTTTATCTGCTGGAGAGAGTTTTAAAATCAGACTTTTTTTTTTTTCGTTTTTCCTCCACTTGGCCACAATTCGAAGCGCACGCTGCGCAATGTGCTGCTGTGATAAAAAACAAAAGCTGGACTAAAAATGAGTGAAAATCAGCTTAAAGCCTGAAGAAAAGCTTTGAAAGATTATCAGAAAGCCTGAAAACAACTGATCAAGACCACTTCTAAAAAGTACAACAAAGTCTGGCATCTTGGAAGCAAAATAAATGAGGAGTGACTTAAAACATTTGCACATCAGTAAGTCTGCAGCCCCCGTTTTTAGTTTTGTGTGTGGGTTGAGAATGGGTTGCAAACTTTTGGAAATGTTTAAAGTTGGGAACTTTCCATGAGAGTTAACTTTATGGGAATAAACAAGAGTAAACTTGAAATTTAAAATAGTGAAAGTTGCTGAACAAGAATGTTTAAAAATGTTAAAATATATTTTAGTATGATAGTGACTAAAACAACCAGATTTTATGGCTGTACCATACAATGAGAGATACAGCTGTCAGCTGGACATGCAGGCAGATGTAAACCTGTAAAAAGTTTAGTTAGGAGTAGTAAACAGTTTTATTGTGAAATGCATTTTACTGAAAATTGTTTTGGTTCTTGGTAGATATAAAAGAGAAGATATTCATCGCATAACACGCAAATGGTTCTGTTTCCAGTTGTGTGTGAATGACATTGAGAATTTTCTGTACTTAGACATTTCAGTGATTTATTTTCTGACCTGCAGTCAGTTGATTTTTGTTTCTAAGTCAATTCAAAGACGAAACAAGAAAAATATATATTTTGTTCAGAGTTGTGTATGAATTTAGAAAAAGATTACAACAATAACAAAAAAAGAGAGAATGTTCAAAATGAGTTGTTCTTCAAAAGGTATGTGGTTATAATCTAGTGACGTCATCAGTGATGTAATGTTTTACAAGTTAGGCCAGTAGATTAATTACTACCCTAAACTTTGGGTTAAACTCATTATTTGTGTGACTTTTTTCCAATAACAAAATAAAAGTTTATATTTTTGGTTGGGTTTTGACAGTTTGTTAAAATTAATCACAGTTTCCTGTTTATTCTCATAAATTACCTCTTTATACCTTTTTTAAATTTGGAACAAAATTAGGAAAATCAGCTAAAAAAAATAGATAAAAGTAGCTGAAAAGGCAAAAAGAATATTAAATTGCCAGAAGGAAGAGGAAAGACCTGAAATGAGCTAAAAAAAAAAAAAAGTAGAATTAGCTGAAAAAGCTAAAATTAGCATCAAAATATTCAAAATATCCTGCTGCATGCTCAATAATCCAGGTAGAAAAATCTAAAAAAGTTATGTCTGGTCCTTTGGACGGGTTCAAAAAACAAAAAATTGTAGAAACGCTTCATCTTTCTTTTGAAAGACTTCTTCAGTCTTCAGTCTCACTTTCTTTGAGAAAAAAGTGTAAGAAAAGGCTAAATAGTTCAAAAAGCTAAAGTTGCACCAATACCCAAAGTCATAGCACCCTTCTCTTGAATGAGCTGAACGTTTGGATATGATTTGTTGAAATAGAGCAAAAAATGTAGCACGAGAATCCCAATAGTGTGAATGCTTCATAAGCGTTCACACTATTATCCAACCCTTTGTGTGAGTCGTACGTGTGAAAGAAAAGATGGCTGCTTGGAAAGATGTTTTATGACCTTAAGAGTTCAATTTACAAATGCTAGATTTTAAACAAATATCCACAAAATAAATTAAAAAAAAAAATCTGATCCACTACAACAGATGATTTTTTTTTTTTGCATGTTACTGCCAACTTTTTTTTGCTTTAAGTTTACCTCACTAGTTTTATTCCGTTGTTACTGAAATTCCCAAACTTTCTTGGTCTCATGAGGCTCCAGCATGAACGCATCCTCCTGGGCTGCTTTGATTTATGTGTCTCATCCACTGCTTCTTACTTTGCAACTCCCTTCCCTCCATCTTCCTCCCTCTCTGTGGTTGTGCACCCTTTCTCCTTCCCCACATTAGTACAAGAGCCTGTGGGAGGCGGTGGAGAACGAGGACACGTTGGCTGTGCAGAGCCTTTTGTCCAAAGACCGTGCCAGCTGTGGAGGAGGAGGAAGCTTGTGGGAGAGAGGAGACAAGAAAGAGAAGGACTGGGAGAGAGATAAAGAGAAAGGGGTGAACAGAGTGAGCGAGCAGGGTTTGGTTCCCCTGGATGTGGCGGCACTTACCCACAATTCCCCTCTGCTTCATGTGCTGACAAAAGCAGGAGCCAGACATAACCCTGTTTGTGAGTCCTACATCAAAAATGTCAAACTATCCAGATAATGAGCGTAAGGGTGATTTGATGTGTTTGTACTGTTACCTGTCAGTGTGCCACCCAGTGGAGTGGGCGCCCAAGCTGGACGCTCTGGTGACCCTGGCGAGCAAACGAGTGGAAGAGTGGAAGTTGGAGCTAGCTCAGAAAGCAGCAGCCGGACCCCAGGCCAAGGCAGACGTCCAAAGACATGTCCACCTCTGGAGACTCAGGCTGCAGCTGTACTGCCGAATGAGGGAGAACTTCCAGAACACAGGTCAGCCATCTTGGGTCAGAAGACTTAACTCTGTCATAGCCATTTTAAAGGCATAGTTCAGCTCTTTTGAAGCGGGGGTTCTGTGAAAAGGTTGTTTAATAATCAATCTCGTTCTTGTTGTAGATAATGACACAGAGTTTAATTCTGACCACTCTCTCAACGTCTTAATCATTTAGATACAAAAGAGAGACTGGCATTATGATTTCTACTCAAATTATTGCATAATTCTTTCATTATTCCCACATTGCAAATGTTAAAAAAAACAACGAATTACACAATTGACAAACTCACAACAGACTCATGCCCTGAGTTGTTACTGCTGAGGAGAAACATACGCAAATTTATTAAAGTGGTGCTTGTTAGGATGGCTTCTATACGGTGGCTGACAGGTGCAAACTCGCACCAAACATCCAAACGCACCCGTCAGCCACCGTACTTCTACCATCATTTATGTATAAACCTAATAAAAGAGGGGAAATGACAACACTGAGAGGAATTGGTAGACAAGAAAGGGACATTTTCACTTGTTGGGATCTTGTTAAAACAGTTCATTGTCAAGCAAATGATATGAATGTCAGTGTCTTGTCCTTGTCTTGTCAATGGACAAGACAAGGACAAGGTGGATCATTCACCTTCCTGTTTGCTCTGTAAGCAAATTCAAGAAGGTCTCGCTGAAACGTGGGCATCTTCAGCCCATGGGACACATCCGACTTGTTAGCTGTCTTCATCTCACCCACAAGAGGTCAATAAAAAAATCTGTTATAAATCGTTCTGCAAGCAAATGTAGAATCTCTGCTTTTACACTAAAACCAGCTTATTGCAATGCTTTTATTTTGAAGGTGAATAGGCGTTAATTGGTGCCAAAGTTGTAAGATGTTTCGGAGTTACCACAGTAGCAGTTTTAGGCTAGAAAATATCGCAATTTTGTGACATGAAGCCTAATTTCCAAACATTAGATTGACCAAAATTGTTGGTGAAGCTGGAATAAACACACAAACTAGTAAACTTTGATTCTTTCATGCCAAAAGCAAATGTAGATGAATTGCAAATCCAGATTTTTAACCAGACTTGATGTCTGCTTAAAAAATAAACTTTGTGTTTATTGACTGAAATCTGTGGTAAGATGTGGTCAGTTTGTGGAAAACAGATCTCTGTAAGGATTACTGCTTCATTTGGCAGCATCAGACTAAACACAAAAAATACATGACCTTGACCAATGATCACTGTTTCAGAATGTTATTGGCTATTTAATATTAAACTGAACATGCAAGGAAATATAAGAACATGTGCATTTTCCCGATTATTCATGGGACTGTTCATTATTTATATCATGTGTGCTTCTGATGTGTCAGTTTTCACTGCGTGTCTCATTTTTTTAATGTTCAATTGCAATGCTTCATTACCAGCAGCAGCAGATTAAAATCACATTTATGATTTATTATCAACTTTATATCCTGAAAAACTAAGAGGAGCAACAAAACCTAAAGTCCTTAAATGTCTTACAAGCTGTGTTCTTAGGAACAACTGCCAAAAGATGAAATTAAATCTAAATCTAAGGCAGTTTTTCAGAACAAGACCTCCATTATTATCAACTCCACGACTTGTCTGACCGAGCTTTGACATCTCAAAGAAAAATAACCCTAAACTTTTTTTTTTTTTTACATTCATTCAACCTTTATTTATACAGGTTAGTTCCCATTGATCCTCAAAGACTCATTTACAAGAGAGACCTGTTACAGACAAAAGTAGATAAGGAAAAGAGAAACACGAGGGGAGAGAAAAAGAATCGTATCTCGCACTATATCAGAGTCAGAGTCAGAGTTTCTTTATTGTCATTCGCACCTCATGTGGTACATGTGGTGGAGCGAAATTATGTACACAAGGTCCCAGTTACATCCAACAATAAAATGTATAAGAAAAACAGTAATAACATCTAAGATATGAACTAAGAAAAACATCAACTAAATATACACTAAGCACTCATAACATAAAACATTGAACATCAGCACAAACATGAACATGAGTCTGTGAGCAGATGTGCACGCATGAACACATCAACATTGAAACAGATCAGCAGCAACATGAAACAGATCAGCAGCAACATGAAACAGATCAGCAGCAACATGATATGGTTTTTCACAGTGATTATTCTAGTTAGAGATTCATGAGTCTAACAGCCTCAGGGTAGAAGCTGTTCCTCAGTCTAGTGGTTCTACACTTAATGCTCCTTAACCTCCTTCCTGAGGGGAGTGGGGCAAAAAGTGTGTGTGCTGGGTGGGTGGGGTCCTTCATGATGCAGGTGGCCCTCTTCCTGCATCTGGAGGTGTAGATGTCTGTGATGGTGGGGAGGCTGATTCCAACATGTGTGGCTTGAACAAAGTTTGTGATTTTAAGCAGTGCCCAGTTCACAGCGGTGTGCAAAAGTCTTGAATCATCTCTTTTCTTTGTGTTTTGCTGCCAAGCAGCCAATCTTTCTTGTGAACCTTTAAAGTGGTCCTGCTCAGTAGTCCTTTCTGAATACTTTTGTTGGACTTTGCCTGATTTTTTACTCATTTTCAGTCAGTATGTGAACAGTTGCAGAAGAAACTTTTTTAAAATCACTTAACTCTGGCATATGAGCCATTCAGGCATAAAAAGGCTTCTGATATCTGAAGGAACCGTGTTGTGTTGACATGAAACAATCAACTTAGCAAAGAATCAGTTTTAAATTAGATCGTTTAGCAGTTTGTTACCAATAGACTGCTATGGAGACTCTCTTTGTCCTCATTTGAAGTTGTGTCTGTAAGAAAT